ACAATGGTCTGCTGCTATTCATAAAGTTTTCATTGGGTAAACATTCAGAAGTTATACGTCTCTCCTCCTTCCTAGTATGTCTGAATCTGGAAGCTCCTCTGAAACCTGTTCATGATTGGTGACTCTGCTGGTATTTAAAATACGGGTGACATGGATTTCAGCATCACAAGCATGAAAACTACCACAATACAACAAAGTGACAGACAAGTAGTGGGTTATTGTTGTTAGGTGCCATGAAATCAGCTCTGATTCATAGTCACCCTTGTACAACAGAACAAAATATTGCCCAGTCCTGCACCATCCTATTAATTTTTCCGATGCTAGAGCCCACTGTTGCAGTCATTGTGTTAATCCATTTCACTGAGGGTTTTCTTTTTCATTCACCCTCTACTTTACCAAGCATGATATCCTTCTCACAGACTGGCACCTCCATATAATATGACCTAAGTATGTGGAACATCCTGGCTTTATATCTTCTAAGATAGATTTGTTCATTCTTCTGATTGTCCATGGTATATTAAATATTCTTTATTGACACCATAATTCAAAGGCATGAATTCTTCTTCAGTCTTTCTTATTTGTCCAGCTTTTATGTACATATGAGGTGATTGCAAATATAGTGTTTTAAGTCAGGCTTATCATAGTTCTCCAAGAGACATTTTAGCTCTTTAATACTTTAAAGGGAACTTCTGCTGAAAATTTGCCCAGTACAATGCATCATTTAATTTTTTGACTGTTACTTCTATGGACATTTATTGTGAATCCAAGCAAAATTAAATTCTTGACAACTTCAATCTTTTCTCCATTAATCATTGGTCCAGTTGCTAGAATTTATATACTTATTTATTTAGGTGAAACCCGTACTGAAGGCTGTATTCTTTAATCTTCATCAATAAGTGCTTCATGTCCTCTTTGTTTCAGCAAGCAAAGTTGTGTCATTTGCACATTACAGGTTGTTCATGAGTCTTCCTCCAACCCTGATGCTGTGTTGTTTATCATATAGCCCAGTTTCTTGGATTATTTGCTCAGCATATAGGTTGAATAAGTATGGTGAAAGCATACAACATTGAACTCACCTTTCCTGATTTTAAACTACGCGGTATCACCTTGTTATATTTGAACAATTGCCTCTTGGTTTATATACACGTTCAGCATGTGCACAAATAAGTGTTATGGAATTCCCATTCTTTGCAAAGTCATTCGTAATTTGTTATGGTCCACACAGATGAATGTCTTTGCAGAGTCAATAAGACACAGGTAAACATCTTTCTGTTATTGTCTGCTTTCAGCCAAGATTCATCAGATATTAACAGTGATAATGTTCACTCCCTGTCCCCTTCTGAACTTAGTTTATTTCTGGAAGTTCTATATTCTCTGTGGATGTACTGCTGCAACTGTGTTTGAATTATCTTCAGCAAAATTTTACTTGTATGTGACATTAATTATACTGTTCAACAATTTTCTGATTCTGTTGGGGCACCTTTCTTTGGAATGGGCACAACTATGATTTATTTTCCAGTTGATTGGCCAGATATCTGTCTTCTGAATTTCTTAGCATAGATAAGCAAGTCAATTGTTGCATCCATTTGTTTGAAATATCCAAATTGGTGTTCCACCAATACCTGGAGTCTTGTTTTTGCCAAAGCTTTCAGAGCATCTTTGTCTTCTTCCTTGAATACCATTGGTACTTGATCATATACTAATGTTTGAAATGGGTGAGTGTTGACCAGTTCTTTTTGGTAGAGTGACTCGATGCATTCCTTCCATTTTTACAAAATTTGTTTTATTTTAAAAGCAAAGTTTCATTTATTGGGCATCTTTTAAATTTTATTAATGCAAAGGGAAATATTGGAATATTTTGAGTCATTTGGATGAACAGTTTGCCTTTTTAAGTTGTCTTGATTTTACATTTGTGTTTATAATTGAATTGGTGCCAAATAATACTATAGAGTTAGAATATTTAACTTTTAAAGCAGTCTTGTCCAGATGAAACCCATTGCTGTAGAGTTTATTTTGACTTTTATCAAGCCTATAGGACATAGTAGAAGTGTATTATAGGGTTTCCAAGGCTGTAATCTTTACAGAAGCAGACTGCCATATCTTTCTCCAATGGAGCAGCTGGTAGATCTACCACTGACCTTTCTTTTCAATTAATAGTCAAGTACTTAACCGCTGTGTCACCAGGGGTTCTATGTTGTCCAGATTAGAGTCTTTGAGTACTCTAGGGATCTGAAGATATATGCCTCAGGGTTTCATAACATCTATTATTTGAATAATACTGCTTAAACCACCTCCTCTTTTCTCTTTTCTTTCATGAGAGGCAATACTGTTGGTGGCTGGTGGTTGTGTAAACCAAGTCAGTTTTGACACATGGCAACCCTGTATAGGGTTTCTGAGGCTATAAATCTTTATGGAAACAAAAATCTCATCTTCCTCCTGTGGAAGGAGGAAGTGCAGCCAGAATGCTCCTTAGAATCCAGGAAGGTCAGACTTCATCTCTCATAATTCAGACATACTGTCAGAAGGGACCAATCCCTGGAGAAGAACATCATGCTTTGTAAAATGGAGGGTCAGTGAAAAAGAGGAAGACCCTCAATGAGATAGATTGGCATAGTGACAGCAGCAATGAGCTCAAATGTAGCAATGATTGTGAGGATGATGCAGTGCTGGGCAATGTTTCGTTCTGTTGTGTATAGGGTCATAATGAATCACAACCAACTCAATGGCACCTAACAACAACTATAACAATATCAAGCTAAAGGAGGAATATTAATTAATAGTTAATCCATAATAAATTTTAGGTCCTTGTTAGTTCTAAAATGTCATGTCACATTTCCATTTCCTTTGTAACCCAATTTCAAGATCATGGAGCTTCAAAATAACCATGACCCAAATTAGATAATAATTTTTATCTTATTTTATTTTAGACCCGATCATCTGGCCTAAAATCTATCTGGTCTAAAAATGTCAAGAAAGTTTGAGGCAAATCCTGTGTAGTGTTAAAGGGAATGGTCCAATGGGTATGTTGCTTTTCTGATAGAGAATTTATTAGAGTAAAAATGTATTACAAAAGCTGGAACCTGAGTAAGGTGGAAAGCTGTCAGAGATGGAAAATGAAAATATTTTCACTAACAGTGATAGAAAAGTGGTAAGACTGTGCCTTGTCAAAAGTGGAGAACTTGCCAGATCCCAAAAAACAAGGCAGTCCCATCAAGACAGCTCTTATAGCTGTCACTGTTCAAGACTAGCACCTTTTTTGTTCAAGAATGGGGAGGGTCATAATAGTGGAATCAAACAATGCAGATCCAAAATCTCACAGTTTACAGAATTCAAAAGACCAAGTTCATAATGGAAAATTTAACAGTGGATATTGGTGATGGTTGTAATAATGTGATTGGTATCATTTAATGGCACTTGTGAAAAATGTTATATAGCCAAATGTTATTATATGTTTTTACAACAAAAGATCATATTCACTAGATGTTTGGTCTATTTCGATTTCTCAATGTTTTATTGACTATGGCACTTCCAGTGTTTGATTTCTGTATCAAAGAGTCTTAGTTAACATTTCATTACTAGATTGAAAGGAAAAGAAGCAACTTTAAATAAATTTGGAAGCACAATGAAGCTAACAGCTACACCTTGACTCTCCTTTGCCGTTGTTAGAATGGAAGCTGAACTGTCTGCTGAAAGGATAGAAGCAGACTTCCAAAGCCAGAGAGCTAACGCTGTGCCTTGTACCTCCTATCCAGGCAATGCTAACCTTCCTCCTCCTCTGTTAGACTTTATTACACTATTCTGTTCATTTTAGTCATTGTTGATATAAAATGTTCCTCATTTTACATTTGTGTGTTGTTTCTGCATGGTTGGATTTCAACTAGGTATTCCTATCAGTATCTGATATAGGTGATCCCAGACCTTTCTTAGGATAAATATCCAGTAGCATACTTTTTATAATCTTGGAGAGAGATACCATCTCTCCACTGAAGAAATTCCCCTTGGAAGATCACAGTTGTTCAGTTCCTTGAATGGGAGACATTGTAGCAGATAGAAAGAGTATGCACTTAGACACTAAGAAATCTTGGGTTCCAGCTCTGACCCAGTTACTAAATAAACTTGAGCAAGTCTTTATCTTCCATGAGCCTCCTTTCCCTTATATTAAAATGGATAAAAAGAAACCAATATGTGTGTGTTACCTAGTAGGAACATAACACAGATTCTCTATATAAACATATAACATTATTGATGTCATAGCCCACAGGGTTCCATCTTGGAGGGATTTCACATCCAGAAAAGCTTAACTCACTTGCCCCTCTGAAAATACATATGAAAATCAAAAAGGAACTTAATCCTTCCCATGTCTCTGGACCAACATCAGAGGAGAGCCCATTCATAACATTAGCAACACTTCTTATATCCCATTTCCTTTCTTCAATTCTTTCACAACCCATTCTAGAGCTTACCATTTGTGATAACTATAAACTAGTCTCCAGTCTTCCTTCAACCTGAGCAATACTATGCTGTCTTCCTGTTCCCTGCTCTCCATTTTGCGAATGGATTTATCTTTTCCCACCCAGTCCTTCCCTCCTTCTCCCTCTCTCTGGGTCCTGTCCTACCCACTGCCCATGTTCAAACTCTATTCCCCCACAACTCCTAAAGCCTGCCTGACAGAAGTAGACTTCTCTCAGAGAGTCTAGATCCTGGTGGAAATAGTCTGGGGTTGGGATTAGCTAAAATAGAGATGGGGATTGACTTGGATAAGGGGTCACTTTGGCTTGGATAGAATGTAGATTGACTGGGATAGGAAAAGGGATCTGCTAAGGTAGGTGTGTGTTGGGTTGGGATAGAGATGCGAACTGGCTAGCATACAAGTGGGAAGTGGTCTATAATTACAATATTTCCTTTGGCAGCCTGGAGTTGGATAAGTCCATGAATTATCTCCTACTCAAATGGAGAATTTAGATTGTGACTCCCTACTGAACTGTGTTCTCTGCCCACAGGGTGACAGTGGGGGGCCTCTAGTCTGCACCCCAGGGCCTGGCAAGAAGTGGTACCAGGTTGGCATCATCAGCTGGGGAAAGAGCTGTGGACTTAAGAATGTTCCAGGAATTTATACTTTGTTAGCTAACTACGACCTCTGGATCAAGAATGTGACTGAGGTGGAAGGAAGGCCCTTTAATGCTGAGGAAATGAGAGCCCCTCCCAAACAGAAACAAATGCGCTCCCAGGCTGCAGAATTCCCAGAGTCAAGAAGTCCCACATTCTGGTTCCTGCTCTGCCTTCTGCTCCACATGATATTGTAGTCCATTTTCAACTGTTAATAAAACAGAAGTGTGCTCCTTAACCAAAGGAGGTGTATGAGAATGTGCCACCAGCAGAGAGACTGGCTTGAGACAAAGGCTAAATGCTAGTCACAGAGGTAGATAACAGAAAGAAACCAAGATGGCACCAGATGTGATCCTATTTTAGAACTCTTTCCTCTGCAAGTTACAGTAACCTAACACAAACTGGCTAAAGCCAAAAACAAACAAACAAACAAAAATGTGTTTATATATTTATAAATAGGAAGTACATACACCTTAGAATAATCAACCATTTGAGATGAAAACAGCAGCATTTACCCAACAAAAAAGTTCCAGAAGGGTTAAGAAAAAAGGAGGAATGAAAACAGGAAGCACAGGGAAGAAGTGGGCTAAGTGATACTCTATTGTGGGGATTGCAATTAATGAGCTGAAACAAAACGTGTTTGAATTGTAGGATGGAAAACTGATTTTCTCTGTAAACCTTCACCTAATTTACAATTAAAAAAAAAAAAAATTCCATGGGCTAGTTCTCATGACCCTTCATCCTACAAACCCAACACTTCACCAATCACCATGACCGGATGTGGGCCAGGATCCAGTAAAGAGTAGGCCATCTAGAACCATGAACACTAAGAGTAATTAAAAGGTGGTGTCCCAACCAGAAACCAGGTATTATAAATAGAAAAGAGGGAATGGTTACTGGAGATGTATTTTTAATTGTGGAAATTCTGGTTGAAAAACATACACAGAGCATGCCTAGCTAGTTTGGGGGAGTTTCTGAGGAAATCACTATCAGGAATTGCTGCTTTGGGACCGCTGAAGAACAGGGATAGAGTAGGAAAAGGGGAATTGGAAGCATTTTCTCTTACAATCTCTGAAAAGCATCAACCATGCAATATGTCGGGAACAAGGCTCAAGTTTGTATTTAAAGTTTTGAATTTTCTAAATTTTCACTCTATCTTTAGTGGAGAGTCCTGGTGTGATGCTGCAGGATAATGCACTGGAACTGCAAGGTCAGCAGTTCAAATCCACCAACCACTCCTTAGAAGCCCTGTCTGTATAAGATCACTATGAGTAGGAGCTTTAGTGAGGAACCAGGGAATCCAACAGAGAACAAACCAAGAGGAAAGAGTCCCATGGTGGCACTACATCATTAGGTCTTCTACTGAGAATTCAGTCTGGCACTCTGGGAGATTGAACTGAAGCCAGGACATATGCCCTCAAGGAGCTTCTTGGCAAATGGTAATACATCCCTTATCCAACCTATCTGTGATGATGAATTTTATGGTATTAACTTCACCACACTATTGTGCCCTTCAGTCAAACAAAAAGGCATTGCCATACAAGTATTTTGTAAATGTGATTACCATGATAATCAATTGACTTTAAGTAAAAGAGATTACTCTTGATGATTTGATGGCCCTCTTTCAACCAGGTGAGGGCCTTAAGAACAAAAACTGAGATTTCTCAGAAAAGAAGGAATTCTGCTTCAAGACTATCCCATAGAAATCTTACCTGAGTTTCCAGGCTGATGTCCTGCCCTACAGATTTTAGACCTAAAACTGTAACATCAACTCTTTTCTGAATTCCCAGCTTCTTAGCCTGCCCTGCTGTGATGTTGTAGGATAAGCATTGAACTGCCATCCACAAGGTCAGTAGTTCAAACTCACCAGCTGCTCCTTGGAAACCCTATACAGGATTACTGTGATTTGGAACCAACACAATGTCACTTTAACAATAACCCTGCCCTACAGATTTTAGAAGGAGCTCTGGTAGCAGAGTGGTTACCAAACTGGGCTGTGAACCTTAAGGTTCAAAACTAATAGCTGTTACACAGGAGAAAGATGAGGCTTTTTGCTCCCGTAGAGATTTACAGTCTTGGAAACCCTGTACAGGATCACTATGAATTGGAACTGACTCCACGGCACATAACCAGCACAGATTTTAGACTTGCCAACCCCAGAAATCACGTGAGCCAATTCTCTCTCTTTCCATATAGTTATCTATATGGAAGTAGGCTGTTGTTGTTAGTGCCGTCAAGTCAATTCCAACCCATAGCGACCCTGTATAGGGTTTCCCAAGATCTGGTGAGCTTGAACCTTGGAGCTTGCAGTTCAAACGGCTTTGCAGTCTGATGCAATAGCCTACAGTGCCACACCAGTATAGATAAATACCTATTCCATATATTTATATTAAATATTTCCAAAATATTTATTTCAAAGAAGTTAATGGAAATATTCCATTATATATACATTGTTGTTGTTAAGTTCATTCAAGTTTGTTCTAACCCATAGAGACACTGTATAGGGTTTCCAAGGAGCTGTTGGTGAGCTTGAACTGCTGACCTGGTGGTTCAAATGACTTTGCAGTCCAATGCATTAATCTACAGTGCTACACCAGGACTCGTATATGTATATGTACACACACACACACACACACACATATATATACATATATAGTTGTTATGGAGCTCTGGTAGCGTAGTGGTTATGAATCGGGCTGCAAGCTACAAGGTCAGCAGTTCGAAACTACCAGCTGTTCCACAGGAGAAAGATCAGGCTTTCTGCTCCCGTAAAGATTTACAGTCTCTGAAACCCTGTTCAGGGTCACTATGAGTCAGAACCGACTCCATGCACATAACAACAACAACAACAATATAGTTGTTGTTAAGTGCCGTCGAATTAGTTCTGACTCATAGCAACCCTGTATAGGATTTAGGAGTGGCTGGTGAATTTGAACTGCTGACCTTGTGGTTCAAACTGACCTTGAGGTCCAGTGCATTATCCTGCAGCACCACACCATCACACCATGACTCTCTCTTTACGCATGATACTGAAGAAGGAAGTGCAAAGTGCATTGAAGGAATTGGCAAAGAACAAGGCAACAAGAATTGATGGAATAAAAATTGCAAGTTTTCAAGAAAGTTAAGTGGCACTGGAGGCACTTACTCATCTATGCCAAGAAATTTGGAAGACAACTATCTGGCCAACTGATTGGAAGAGATCGGTATTTGTGCCCATTCCAAAGAGAGGTGACCCAATGGAATGAGGAAATCATCGGTCAATCTCTTTGATATCCCATGAGAGTAAAGTTTTACTAAAGGTAATACAGAATTACAGGCTGCAAGCATACATTGACAGAGAACTTCCAGAGGTTCAAGCCAATTCAGAAGAGGCCATGGAACAAAAGATAAAATTGTTGATGTCTGATGACTCTTGACTGAAAGCAGAGGATATCAGAAAGATGTTTACCTATGCTTTATTGATTATGCAAAGGCTTTCGATTGTATGGATCAT